GCCCAATAGCTGCTGAATTTTCACCCGCAGAAGACACACTCACTGCACTTTACAGTATAATGTGCGAAGCGCTTTGAGACGACTCAGTGATGTGATACTTGACGGTGGATTTTAAAAACATGCTTTATCGTCAAGTTTATGAAGTGAGTGCAAAGGAAAATAGGAACATCGGCTGTTTAACCTCACACTAGTCAGCTCCTCGCCAGTTGCAAACTTCCACATCTTTGACAATGTCATTAATAGATTCACAAATTTGATCTAAGATTACTAATACGTTTATAATTAAAAAGCTTCCAACAACAAGATTCTCATTTTTCGGCTACAGCTGCGTGTCCGGCTCTTGCTCTCTCTCTCTCGCCTCCGAGTCAGGAGGATGTGGGTTCGGTCCGCAGCTGTTTGGGGGATACTGCTGTGCACAGTTGCACCCCGAAACGATACAGTCGATAAACTTTACACTATATTTTCTGAAGCGCTTTGAGACGTCTCAATGATATAATCAGGCGCGATATCCAATGCAAGAAACACTTTTAGTGTTAGTAATCTTATATGAATATATATAATATATATACTTATATATAATGTGTGATATATATATATATATATCACCATTTCACGAAGACTTATTGCACCTTGTAATTCTATCACGATCATTTGATCATAATATATATTGTGTCAAGCTCGGTCAGGAGGTATCGCCATCTGAGAGAGAAGGCTTTGCCCCCAGTCATGGCTTTGAATTTAATTTGTCCCGTGGTGACGCTCCAGTGCAGAGCGGGAGTGTCCTGGATTGTCCGGTGCACTTCCCATGGAACATTATAGAAAGTCATTTCTACCCGTTCAAATATCCCATAGCACTATTCCAAAAGAGGATGCAGTTTCTCTTTTTCTGTGTCTTGGCCACCAGTCCCCCAAATAAAATTGGTCAATTGCAGCATCACTGTTAATACAACAGAGTTGCACACAATTGAGAGCCGGCTTCGCCCAGTGGCCACAAAATGATACAATATTGTATGTCCATTTGCCGAAAACAATATTATATTCGAATACATTTTAATGACTTACTTATTTCACTACCAGAAATGTAATACTTTTTTTTTTCTTTGGGTGCATTACAATTAACTCAGCAATAAGTGTATGACGACACGAGGTTAAGAAGCAGATTTCAGTGAACGTCCTATGAGAATCAGATCTGTAGCAGTGTATACAATTGATGGATTTTGTGATGGTCGTTTTAGGAGGCAGAATATTTGTTGTTACATTTTTAGCAATATTAATTATACATTATAGTTATAAACACATCTTTTATATGGTAAAGATGCGGAAAGATCGTGGAATGTAGTTAAATGACTGACAGGTTTTTAAGTGTCGAGAAAGTTGACATTAATTATGGGACAGCAAGCTCTGAATTGTATTGAGAATAATCTTTATAATTGGTGTTGCTTCTTTCACTCTCTTATATTGCGCAGATAGTGCTTGAAAGGATGCAATATTAAGTAGAATGATTCTGTATATTTCGAGCAATTTGTGCATAGCAATGTCCCAGAAATTGCAATGAAGGAATGGCCATTTTTGAAGCCGTATGACGTCACTTCAGTTGATTCAGTTTCAATCTTTCTTCATTGAATTTATTGGTTAAACACTTGTGGATTAGAATTGAAACATCCTTTCAAATATCACTAATTTCCAACTCTTTGATTTGAAGATAGATCAAGTGGATTTAATGGACACAGTGAACCTGACTTACTTTTCTGTTCAAATACCTACAGAATAGCGACATCTCATAATTTTTATTCTTCAATTTACCAAAGAAGGACAATTAACTAAACCGGAATCCGTATCGTTGACAATAGTAGGATATTTCCTCCACAAATATGTGGTCAATTCACTTTCCAATCTATTCTGTGAAGCGCTTTGAAACGTCGTGAAGACGTGAAAAGCGCTACATCAAATGCAAGGATTATTGTTATCATTGTTTTATTCATTAGAAACATAAATAGAAAAATGTAATGCACAAGCAATAATAGGAATTAAACACTTGCACAGAAGTGTAGGTTGGGATCAATATCCCAAAAATTCTTTATAATCTAATATCTTTCACTTGCAGAAGATTCTCAAGATGCGTCATACGATTTCCAGTATAGTATGCTTTATAGGCGAAACTGGCAACAAATGCGCACAGCAAATGCCCATCAATAAAAATACAATAAAATATAAGTTGCTACAAATGTTGGCCAGTACACACGGATAATTCGCTTCCAATAATATAATGGGAAGAATGGGATAATTAACATATGCCAGAATAGGGCACAGATGTACCTCATTATATTGGATAATTGCCTCTCCACAGACAGGGCAGTGCAACGTCCAAACACATCCAAATTAATGCTTTGTGCTCTGCAACTATCAAGATATTTTGTTCCACTTGATATTCCATTAAGACTTGCGTGCTCTGCCCCTTTGCTTCAGGAAATTTTGTTGCAGCTATCGAGGAGCTAAATGATCATCTCTCCTCCACTTTCAACTCATTTCTCATATGAAAACTACGGTCAACTCCAAACGAAACACTTCCCCCGAAACAAGTGTCACCTTGGTATCTGAAATCCCAGGACCATATCGCCAAGGGAGATAACAATTACCTGCCGCAGGATTGACTGTCAGATTTCCCCCTTTGTCACTCCTGAGGTATGGTGCCAAAAAGTGAATGGCGTGCTCAACGTAGGTCTGTCCAGTGATCACAACTATTTTCCATTTTCATCACTAAACCTCCCTCGAAAGCCTTCCATCTTCACTTAAAGTGCCAAATTAAATGAGATCACGAACTTCTATCAGATTTCCAGATAGACAGCTTCAATTCAGAACAACTCGCTGTGACCGAAACCATTTGATTAATTTACTTGTGTTATTGGGATGTAGAATTTGCTATCACATAAAGTGTTCTAAATAAGATCCACTTTGAGTCGAAACTGAAAGAGAAGCAGCTTGAATTCACATAGCACAACAACAACTCGGAGTTCTTAAAGTTGCTAAACTTGATGATGAATCAGGGAGAGTCGGGAGGTCATCAAACTACTCGCTACCTTGTGATCATGGTGCCTTACAAATGCAACTTGTTGCAATTATTTGAGTTTTTGCATCAAGATCGATATATGTGGACGGACCGAGGGAAGGAAAGAAGACCTGAGGTTGAGGGAATATGTATGAGTATAGAAAAGTATATGAAAGACCAGGCTTAAAAAGGGTAGGATCAGGGATGGGTAGAAATACGGAATGAACAGCTTGCTGTGAGAGCACGAACAAACGTGGTGTGTGAAATGGCCTCCACTGATCACTGCTGTAAATATCTCCGATTCTTCTGGCACGTTTCCACCTCTGGCTGTTTGTGATTATATGAAACTTATGCCGTCTGATCACTGACTCATGGACTAACGACAATAATATTATGAGTTTCAGCTTATTTCACTATGCATATATCACCTAATTGAACATCATCCGAAGTAATCTTCTAAAATATCTAACTGACGAAACCTTTTCTGTTTCAGGTCCACAAGTCGATAGTCAAGCTAAGAAATTAGGTGAGATTATTTTTGATAATTTATTCGTTCCGCAGCGCAACATTCACTAAAATACCATTACATCAAAACTATGCTGCCAACACCAAACTCCGCACTCGCAACACTCCAGCCTCGGCTCATCCTCCCGACATAAGCGGTGTTAAATATAATGCAAATGCAATTTTCTGCAGCTTTTATACTTGCCAGTCTCCTTTGGCTTCCACTAGCAGAACAAATATTTTGAACGAGTGGAGTGGTTATTGAGGAAAAGTGTTCCAGTGTTTCTGGACAAGCTCTGCCCTGTTAAGGGTTCGGAGACACGATGAGATGTATTCAAGTTGCGGGAAAAGATCATCACATCAAAAGCAATACCTTGTTGTATTCTTTTATATATGCAGCGCCTTTTTCACGACGGTTTATCGGTGATACGCTCTGCATACATACAAACAACACAGTCCTGGAGCTCAGTGGTTAGAGCACTCGCTTTACAAGCGAGAGAGCTGAGTTCAATTCCACGTAGGGCGAAACCTTGGGCAAGTTTCCTTACTCCACACGCCTACTAATAATCCCTCCAAATAAACAACAAAAACAATAATAAATTGGTCATTTTCAATCCACGGCTGTTTGTGGGACGCTGGTGTGCTCAATTGGCTGCTGCGTTCGCCCACAAATATACAGTTAATGCACTTTACAGTCTATACTGTGAAGCGCTTTGAGACGTCGAGAAGACGTGAAAAGCGCTATATCAAATGCAAGGATTGTTGTTATTATTATTGTTTAAAAAACAAGAAAATACTGTTCTTGTTGTGACGATCTATCCCGCAACTTCAAAACATGGCATCTTGGGTCTGTCCTTGTATTTTTTCTTTGCTTACAATCCTGAATTCAGACGAATATTTCCTCTACTTGTGTGAATTTTAACCTCATATTTGTGGGAACGCTCAAGGCGATTTATGTCTTCCATGTGATCACGACAACTTTAATATATGCTGACTGATTGTTTCACTGTGAGAAGTGTGTGAATGGAATCTAAACTGATCTGCTCCCAGATCCCCTTTTCACCACCTCATGTAATCTCCTATTTTAACCAATGCATGTAACACACGTTTAATATGCTCGTTCTGTACTTCAAACCATCTCAAGATTTATACGTTCCTCCAGCCTGCTCTCCCACCCAACTATCCACACCTCGATTCCAGTCCACGTTCACCTTTCGGCTTGTATCAATTATACCGCACATTAATATGAATGAATGTTAGCTGACATGTGGGGACACCTCTATATGCCGCAACTCTTCCAGCGCTTCACAGAATTTACTGTTAAGAGCAGTGACTGTGCAGGCAAATGCGGCAGCTGGGTTACCTACAACGAGTATTACTATTATAATTATGATTATCTTGCGTGATTGGAATGAAATACAAAGGCGTTTTGCTTTTGACATTTTTGCAGATCATTTGAGGCTGGTGAATGGCAGCAGCCCCTGTGCCGGGAGAGTGGAGGTTTACCACGATGGGCAATGGGGCACAGTGTACGGTTCTGGCTGGGATCTGAAGGCCGCGGCTGTGGTGTGTAAGGAGTTGGGCTGTGGAGCCGCGCTCTCAGCACCAGGAGACGCTCACTTTGGCGAAGGCACTAGTCCCAAATTGACGTATAATGCTCAGTGCAAAGGGAACGAGTCTGCTCTGAGGGATTGCGAATCAGACAGGGGTGAAGATTCCGTGTTTTCGAAGTACTCTAAGTCCACTGAATCAGAGCATGATTACTATGAGTACTTTTCGTCAGACTCCTCTCATGCCGGCGTCATCTGCTCAGGTAAATGATTCAGTCTGTGATCATTCTTTTCATTTCTCACATTTTCGCTGAAGCACAGCTTCAGAAACTCTGACAAAGATTGTATTCCACACGATGTCAGCTTATTATTATTAAATCCCTTGTTTTTGGGGGTGAAGTTGCCTCCTTCCCCCGCCTTCCATCCATCCGCCGGCACTCTGTGTTGGTTTATTTTGTTCTCACTGTTCCGTCTCAGGAGAGGATTTAATCCTTGAATCAGACTTGTTTTCAGACCTGAACTAAAACATATTGAAATACGCAGTGTGTCCTTAGGATAATGAGTAGTGTTTCATTGATGAAAGTCCCTCAATCGCTTCACCTTGTGAGCGAAATAGGGAAATAGCAGTAGGCATTGTCCAATAGGAAGGTCTTCCGATGTGATCTAAAAGAGCAATCACGGAGGTGGGATTGAGGAAGAGTGCTGCAGAGTTCCAGGGAAAGCTCTGACCTGTTAATTGCTGAGAGACGCTATTCTGGGTGACAGGCGCTACATGCGTACAAGATGATGATTTTGTTGCTGGAATGATCTGTCCGACAACTTCAACACTTCTAAACTGGAATGCGTCCTTGACTTAATTATTTCCTTTACAATATTGAATGAACAGGACTATTTCCTTTCTTTGTTTGAATTTTAACCCCAAATTATTGGGAACATTAAAGGCGATTTGCATCTTCCATCTGTGCATGACAATTTTAATTTATACTGACTGACTGTCACATGGAGAAAGGGTGTTAACGGAAGGTAAATTGATATACTCCACGACCACCTTGTCCGCACCTTATTTAATGCCATACTTATATAAACCCCAGTCACAGAACTTTAATACCTTCGTTCTTTTCTTCAAATCGCCTCAATGATTGACATGCTTCTACACTCTGTTCTCACGTCCCACTACCCACACGTCGATTTCAGTTCCCTTTTGCCTTTCTTCTTGTATGAATTATACAATCGGAGTAGCATTGTCCCACTTCGCCCTCTACCAGTAAGTTCCAGGTGACATATGAGGAAAGGTGGCTGCAGCAACCTTAAGTTTATTTTGTTATGAGGTACACCGTGAAGTCTCACTCATGATTTCCTCTATATTGTAAGTAATTCATTGACGCAGACCTCAAACATCTTCAATCGCTTCAAATAACTTACGATATGGAGCAGTGACTTTGTAGACTAATGTGGCAGCTAAGTTGCTTGTTAGGATTACTATTATACTTATGGTCATCCTACGTGATTGGAAATCAAGTACAAATACGTGTAACCTGTGATCTTTTTGCAGATCGTTTGAGGCTGGTGAATGGCAGCAGCCCGTGTGCCTGGAGAGTGGAGGTTTACCACGATGGGCAATGGGGCACAATGAATCGCAATGGCTCTGGTGGCTATGGTTGGGATATGTTGGACGCGGCTGTGGTGTGTAAGCAGTTGGGCTGTGGAGCCGCGCTGTCAGCATCAGGAGACGCTCACTTTGGCGAAGGCTCAGATCCCGTTGTGACGGATCATGTTCAGTGCAGTGGGAGTGAGTCTACTCTGAGGGATTGTCAGTCTCAGCCCTGGGGTCACTATTCCTGGTTTCCGCACTCCTCTGATGCCGGCGTCATCTGCTCAGGTAAATAATTCATTTTCTATTTTTTTTTCTGTGCTCATATTAAAAGTATAGAAGTATTTTCGGTAAACCGTAGTTTGCGAAACTCTGGAAAAGTTTGTAATCCACATTTATTCCACATCTTATTATTACGAAATCCCTGGTTGGGGGACACACTGCCTCTTTCCACGTCCGGCACTCTGACGCCGCTCAATACTGGTTTTATTATTCTCCCTTTTTACTACTCAGGAGAGGCTTCAAACCTTAAATCAGAATTGTTTTCAGACCAGCTCTAAATTTACTGAAATGTGCGGCGCATCCTCAGGATAATGATTAGTGTACTCGAAAGCCTTCCATCTTCACTTAAAGTGCCAAATTAAATGAGATCACGAACTTCTATCAGATTTCCAGATAGACAGCTTCAATTCAGAACAACTCGCTGTGACCGAAACCATTTGATTAATTTACTTGTGTTATTGGGATGTAGAATTTGCTATCACATAAAGTGTTCTAAATAAGATCCACTTTGAGTCGAAACTGAAAGAGAAGCAGCTTGAATTCACATAGCACAACAACAACTCGGAGTTCTTAAAGTTGCTAAAACTTGATGATGAATAAGGGAGAGTCGGGAGGTCATCAAACTACTCGCTACCTTGTGATCATGGTGCCTTACAAACGAAACTTGTTGCAATTATTTGAGTTTTTGCATCAAGATCGATATATGTGGACGGACCGAGGGAAGGAAAGAAGACCTGAGGTTGAGGGAATATGTATGAGTATAGAAAAGTATATGAAAGACCAGGCTTAAAAAGGGTAGGATCAGGGATGGGTAGAAATAAGGAATGAACAGCTTGCTGTGAGAGCACGAACAAACGTGGTGTGTGAAATGGCCTCCACTGATCACTGCTGTAAATATCTCCGATTCTTCTGGCACGTTTCCACCTCTGGCTGTTTGTGATTATATGAGACTTATGCCGTCTGATCACTGACTCATGGACTAACGACAATAATATTATGAGTTTCAGCTTATTTCACTATGCATATATCACCTAAATTGAACATCATCCGAAGTAATCTTCTAAAATATCTAACTGACGAAACCTTTTCTGTTTCAGGTCCACAAGTCGATAGTCAAGCTAAGAAATTAGGTGAGATTATTTTTGATAATTTATTCGTTCCGCAGCGCAACATTCACAAAATACCATTACATCAAAACTATGCTGCCAACACCAAACTCCGCACTCGCAACACTCCAGCCTCGGCTCATCCTCCCGACATAAGCGGTGTTAAATATAATGCAAATGCAATTTTCTGCAGCTTTTATACTTGCCAGTCTCCTTTGGCTTCCACGAGCAGAACAAATATTTTGAGCTATCCTCATATGATGCAGTAACCGTCCTGCATATACTCCACTCATCTACCAAAACCATCTGTCCACTGGCTTCGGCCTCAATGACAACTACTTGCATTTTGATAGCGGCATTCATGCAGCGTAGCGTCCCAGAGCGCCTGCGACAGCAGTACCGCCACCGAGAGAAAGAGGGAGGTCGAAGGGAAACTCTTCCTTTATTATCCAAACGTGTAGTCAAGGAGTGGTTATTGAGGAAAAGTGTTCCAGTGTTTCTGGACAAGCTCTGCCCTGTTAAGGGTTCGGAGACACGATGAGATGTATTCAATTTGCGGGAAAAGATCATCACATCAAAAGCAATACCTTGTTGTATTCTGTTATATATGCAGCGCCTTTTTCACGACGGTTTATCGGTGATAAGCTCTGCATACATACAAACAACACAGTCCTGGAGCTCAGTGGTTAGAGCACTCGCTTTACTAGCGAGAGAGCTGAGTTCAGTTCCACGTAGGGCGAAACCTTGGGCAAGTTTCCTTACTCCACACGCCTACTAATAATCCCTCCAAATAAACAACAAAAACAATAATAAATTGGTCATTTTCAATACATGGCTCTTTGTGGGACGCTGGTGTGCTCAATTGGCTGCCGCGTTCGCCCACAAACATACAGTTAATGCACTTTACAGTCTATACTGTGAAGCGCTTTGAGACGTCGAGAAGACGTGAAAAGCGCTATATCAAATGCAAGGATTGTTGTTATTATTATTGTTTAAAAAACAAGAAAATACTGTTCTTGTTGTGACGATCTATCCCGCAACTTCAAAACATGGCATCTTGGGTCTGTCCTTGTATTTTTTCTTTGCTTACAATCCTGAATTCAGACGAATATTTCCTCTACTTGTGTGAATTTTAAACTCATATTTGTGGGAACGCTCAGGGCGATTTATGTCTTCCATGTGATCATGACAACTTTAATATATGCTGACTGATTGCTTCACTGTGAGAAGTGTGTGAATGGAATCTAAACTGATCTGCTCCCAGATCCCCTTTTCCCCACCTCATGTAATCTCCTCTTTTAACCAATCCATGTAACACACGTTTAATATGCTCGTTCTGTACTTCAAACCATCTCAAGATTTATACGTTCCTCCAGCCTACTCTCCCACCCAACTATCCACACCTTGATTCCAGTCCACGTTCACCTTTCGGCTTGTATCAATTATACCACAGATTAATATTGTCCCACATCCCGCTAAACCAATGAATGTTAGCTGACATGTGGGGACACCTCTATATGCCGCAACTCTTCCAGTGCTTCACAGAATTTACTGTTAAGAGCAGTGAATGTGCAGGCAAATGCGGCAGCTGGGTTACCTACAACGAGTATTACTATTATAATTATGATTATCTTGCGTGATTGGAATGAAGTACAAAGGCGTGTTGCTTGTGACATTTTTGCAGATCATTTGAGGCTGGTGAATGGCAGCAGCCCCTGTGCCGGGAGAGTGGAGGTTTACCACGATGGGCAATGGGGCACAGTGCACGGTTCTGGCTGGGATCTGAAGGCCGCGGCTGTGGTGTGTGAGGAGTTGGGCTGTGGAGCCGCACTCTCAGCACCAGGAGACGCTCACTTTGGCGAAGGCACTAGTCCCAAATTGATGTATAATGCTCAGTGCAAAGGGAACTAGTCTGCTCTGAGGGATTGCGAATCAGACAGGGGTGAAGATTCCGTGTTTTCGAAGTACTCTATGTCCACTGAATCAGAGCATGATTACTATGCGTACTTTTCGTCAGACTCCTCTCATGCCGGCGTCATCTGCTCAGGTAAATGATTCAGTCTGTGATCAATTTTTTCATTTCTCACATTTTCGCTGAAGCACAGCTTCAGAAACTCTGACAAAGATTGTGTTCCACACAAAGTCAGCTTATTATTATTAAATCCCTTGTTTTGGGGGGTGAAGTTGCCCCCTTCCCCTGCCTTCCATCCATCCGCCGGCACTCTGTGTTGATTTATTTTGTTCTCACTATTCCGGCTCAGGAGAGGATTTAATCCTTGAATCAGACTTGTTTTCAGACCTGAACTAAAACATATTGAAATACGCAGTGTGTCCTTAGGATAATGAGTAGTGTTTCATCGATGAAAGTCCCTCAATCGCTTCACCTTGTGAGCGAAAGAGGGAAATAGCAGTAGGCATTGTCCAATAGGAAGGTCTTCCGATGTGATCTAAAAGAGCAATCACGGAGGTGGGATTGAGGAAGAGTGCTGCAGAGTTCCAGGGAAAGCTCTGACCTGTTAATTGCTGAGAGACGCTATTCTGGGTGACAGGCGCTACATGCGTACAAGATGATGATTTTGTTGCTGGAATGATCTGTCCGACAACTTCAACACTTCTAAACTGGAATGCGTCCTTGACTTAATTATTTCCTTTACAATGTTGAATGAACAGGACTATTTCCTTTCTTTGTTTGAATTTTAACCCCAAATTATTGGGAACATTAAAGGCGATTTGCATCTTCCATCTGTGCATGACAATTTTAATTTATACTGACTGACTGTCACATGGAGAAAGGGTGTTAACGGAAGGTAAATTGATATACTCCACGACCACCTTGTCCGCACCTTATTTAATGCCATACTTATATAAACCCCAGTCACAGAACTTTAATACCTTCGTTCTTTTCTTCAAATCGCCTCAATGATTGACATGCTTCTACACTCTGTTCTCACGTCCCACTACCCACACGTCGATTTCAGTTCCCTTTTGCCTTTCTTCTTGTATGAATTATACAATCGGAGTAGCATTGTCCCACTTCGCCCTCTACCAGTAAGTTCCAGGTGACATATGAGGAATGGTGGCTGCAGCAACCTTAAGTTTATTTTGTTATGAGGTACACCGTGAAGTCTCACTCATGATTTCCTCTATATTGTAAGTAATTCATTGACGCAGACCTCAAACATCTTCAATCGCTTCAAATAACTTACGATATGTAGCAGTGACTTTGTGGACTAATGTGGCAGCTAAGTTGCTTGTTAGGATTACTATTATACTTATGGTCATCCTACGTGATTGGAAATCAAGTACAAATACGTGTAACCTGTGATCTTTTTGCAGATCGTTTGAGGCTGGTGAATGGCAGCAGCCCGTGTGCCTGGAGAGTGGAGGTTTACCACGATGTGCAAAGGGGCACAATGAATCGCAATGGCTCTGGTGGCTATGGTTGGGATATGTTGGACGCGGCTGTGGTGTGTAAGCAGTTGGGCTGTGGAGCCGCGCTGTCAGCATCAGGAGACGCTCACTTTGGCGAAGGCTCAGAACCCGTTGTGACGGATCATGTTCATTGCAGAGGGAATGAGTCTACTCTGTGGGACTGTCAGTCTCAGCCCTGGGGTCACTATTCCTGGTCGCACTCCTCTGATGCCGGCGTCATCTGCTCAGGTAAATAATTAATTTTCTATTTTTTTTTCTGTCCTCTATAGAGAAGAGAAATATTTTTGTTAAACCGCAGTTTGCGAAACTCTGGAAAAGCTTGTAATCCACATTTTTTCGCCATCTTATTATTAAATCCCTGGTATGGGGTCACGCTGTCCCTTTCCCCTTTCCGCCCTCTGCAGCCGCTCAATATTGGTTTCATTGTTCGCCCTTTTTACTACTCAGGAGAGGCTTCAAACCTTAAATCAGAATTGTTTTCAGACCAGCTCTAAATTTACGGAAATGTGCAGCGTTTCCTCAGGATAATGACTAGTGTTTCATCCAAGACAATTCCTTGATCGCTGCCCTGTGTGGGCGACCCCGACCTTGGAGAAAGACGGAGTTGACCGAAGGCATAGTCCAACAGCAAATTCTTCAGATTTCATCTAAAAGCGGAGCCAGGGAGGAGGGATTGAGGAAGTTTGAATGTTCTTGTGCAAGCTCTGACCTGCTAGTTGCTGAGAGAAGCTGTTCTGCGTGACAGGCGCTGCTTATATACAAGATGATGTTGTTGTTGCTATGATGATCTATCCAACACATCAATGCATCTTACATGGAGTCTATCCTCGACTTACTTCTTTCCTTTACAACAGTGAATGGAGAGGAATATTTTCTCTGGTTTTTGGATTTTAACGCCATGTTTGGGGGAGCACTTAAGGCGATTTTTGCCTTCCATCTGAGCATGACAGTTTTAATGTTATTGACTGCCTCTCTTATTTTGATAGGAGTATGACCAGTTTGTAAATAGATATGCTTCCCAATCACGCTTTCCCCAAATAATGCAATCTCCTATTTAAACACAACTTTAGTATCCTTCTTATGTTGTTCAAATCGTCCCATGATTTATAATAATAATGATAATATTTTATAAAAATAATAATAATAATCCCTCCAAAACCAAAAACTATAATAAATTGGTCATTTTCAATCTACGACTGTTTGTGGGATATTGCTGTGCGCAATTCGCTGCCGCGTTCTCCCACAAAAACACAGTCATTTCGTTTTACAGGGTGTTCTGTGAAGCGCCTTGAGACGTCCTACCGACGTCAAAAGCGCTATATCAAATGCAAGCATTATTATTATTATTACTATTATGATTTATACGCTTCTCCACCCTCCATCGACAGTGCACACCTCGATTCCAGTTAACGTTTACCAACCATCTGTAGAATCCGAATAACATTACACACATCAAACTGAACTTACGAGTGCCAGAAGTCAAACGAGAACACATGAATGCAGCGCCTTAAATGTATTTTGTTCTGAAAACCATTGCGACTTTCCATTCATGATTTCCGTTATGCTGCATAAAAATCATTGACACAGAATGGAAATCGCCTCAATGGAACCACATAATTTACTGCGGGGAACAATGACTGTGTAGGCGAGTGCGGCAGCTCGGTTAAGGACTAGAATTATTATTATAATTATGAGTATCCTGCGTGATTGGAAATCAAACCCAAATGCGTGTTGCTGGTGATTTTTGCAGATTATCTCAGGCTGGTGAATGGCGGCAGCCCATGTGCCGGGAGAGTGGAGGTCTACCACGATGGAGAGTGGGGCACAGTGAATGGCTATGGCTCTGGTGACAGTGTTTGGGATATGTTGGACGCGGCTGTGGTGTGTAAGGAGTTGGGCTGTGGAGCCGCGCTGTCAGCATCAGGAGACGCTCACTTTGGGAAGGGCTCAGGTCCCGTTGTGACGCATAATGTTCAGTGCAGAGGGAGTGAGTCTACTCTGAGGGGTTGTCAGTCATATCCCTGGAGTCACTATACATTGTCACACTCCTCTGATGTCGGCGTCATCTGCTCAGGTAAATAATTTTCAGTCTCCCATCAATTTTTTCAATCCTCATATTTTCGGTAAACCACAGTTTGAGAAACTCTGATAGAGATTGCATTCCACATGATGTCAGTTTGTCAGTTTTAAATCCGTAGTTTTTTTTGGGGGGTCACACCGCCGCCATCCTCTCCTCACCAGCCCCCACCCTCAACCCCGCTACCGCCCGCCCGCCAGCCCTCCTCCGTCGTTCAATGTTGATTTTCTTTGTCCTCCATGTTTCTGCTCAACTGTAGCTTCAATCCTTGAATGAAATAAGTTTTCAGGACGGAAGTAAAATATATTTATTTTAAATATATGCGTCCTTAAGATAATAATTAGTAATTAATCCTAGAGAATCCCTCAATCCCTGGCTAGCACCTCGCCCGGCACCCCACCCCCGGCTCCGGGTCAACCACGATTAAACGGTCCTAGATATGGTACGATTGCAAGTTTTTTTTTAACACATTTCCCCTTTCCCGACCAAAGTGTCGCAGATAATACGTAGTAACCAATGTGACAGTAGATCTTGTGAAGAGGTTCGAGACGTCCAGCTGTCATAAATGGCTCAATGTCAAAAATGATGATGGTTATAATCTGGAATTAAATTTGCAAGTTGTAAAAATATAATTTTCTAACTGCAGTATGAAACCTGCGTGCAGTAGTGTTTATTATTTCAACTCAAACGGCTTTCCGTCCTGCCCCTCTAGCTCACTTGCTGTGCTGCTGATTGCCCCATCCCAACCTTAATAATAATAATAATAATCCTTGCATTTGATATAGCGCTTTTCATGTCAGGAGGACATCCCAAAGCGCTTCACAGAACACACTGTAAAGTGAATTGACTGTATATTTGTGGGCGAACGCGGCAGCCAATTGCGCACAGCAATGTCCCACAAACAGTCGTGGATTGCAAATGACCAATTTATTATTATTTTTGGTTTTCGAGGGATTATTATTAGGCGCGTGGAATAAGGAAACTTGCCCAAGGTTTCGCCCTCTGCCTGGAATTGAACTCAGGTCTCTCGCTTCAAAGTTTTCAGCCCGGAGCTAAAATATATTTAAACCCGCATTGCGTCCTTAAGGTAATAATAAGTATTTCATCCAAGACTGTTGCTCAGTCGCCTGGTCAGCACCTTTCATATTTTGTGTCACGCGCCTTTGGTTATTCTTCACCATAACGATAATTATAATTATAATTAAAAAACGATTTTGATTATAATTTGGAATTACATTTGTAAATGGTAAAAAAAATCTAACTGGAGCATGTATCCTGCACATAGAAGTGTTTATTATTTCAACTCGAACGGCTTTTCGTCCTACCCGTCAAGTTCATTTGCTGTGCTCCTTCGTCCCCCGTCTCCCTCCTTATCCCCACATCTTCTTGGTGATATATATTGACGCTTGGCCAAAACTGCAAATTATTCCACGAACAAAACACAGAATCATTGATCATAATGGATCGTGAGAAGAGCTTTCAGGCTTCACCTCAAAGAGAAAGCCCATGTTTCAGAAATCTCTTTCTCCCCAAAACATTTCCTTTCACAACCGACTGCCTGGACCATAATTTTTTAAGAGCAATATATTGTTCAACTTAGCGTGACATAACCGCAGCCATCCTTTTTGGTTCCCACGCGCATCTGTTCATCTCTTTATCTTTGGCTCCGCATATCCACCTCCTTAAGTATAGCATACCGACTTTAGTCTCTTTTCCTCTTCCTTCGGTCGACCACGCTATCCTACTCCACCGCTTGTCCTCCCACCTCAACCTTCAAGGCACTGTCCTTGAATGGTTTAGCTCTTACCTTTCCCACCGTCTTCACTTCGTCTCAACGAATGGCTTCTCCTCCACCCCCCGTACTGTCTCATGTGGTGTCCCTCAGGGCTCTGTCCTCGGTCCCCTCCTCTTCACCCTCTATATGCTCCCCCTTGGTGACACCATCCGCAGACATGGGGTTAACTTCCACATGTATGTGGATGACACACAACTCTACCTTTCCTCCTCTACTCTCAACTCCACGACCACCGATGTCCTGACAGCTGTCTGTCCGACATCGAATCCTGGACGAGAGACAACTTTCTTCAGCTCAACGTGCGAAAACCGAGGCCCTCCTGATTGGCTCACGTCAGCGCCTCCGCACCTCAGGCGCTGACACCATCAGCATCCAAGGCTGCACTCTCCACCTCTCAAAGCCAGTCAGGAACCTCGGCGTTTTGTTCGACCCTGAGCTGTCCTTTCTCCCTCACATCCGCACCACAACTGGCACCGCCTTCCATCACCTACGGAACATCGCCAGACTACGGCACTACCTCACCCCTCACGCTGCTGAAACTCTGGTTCACGCCTTTGTCACTTCAAGGCTGGACTATGGTAACTCTCTCCTCGCCGGCCTTCCCGGCACCTCCCTCCACAAGCTGCAGGTCATTCAGAACTCTGCAGCTCGTGTACTGTCCCGCACCAGACACCGCGACCACACCAAACCCACGATCGCTCGCCTCCACTGGCTCCCCATCCCCCAGAGGATTGATTTCAAGATCCTCATCCTCACCTACAAGGCCATTCACGGCCTTGCTCCCTCCTACCTCTCCAACCTACTATCCCCCTACCTACCTGCCCGTACCCTCCGTTCCTCTGGCTCCGGTCTGCTCCACGACCCCCGCCCCAACCGCCCTACTATCGGTGGTCGGGCCTTCAGCCTCTCAGCCCCCAGGCTCTGGAACTCTATCCCCCAGTGCCTTCGCCGCTTCCTCCCTTTCCTCCTTCAAGCCGGTCTCAAAACCTTCTCTTTGACCGTGCCTTCAGCTCCCCTCTCGACTCTCTTCCTCCTCCTCGCTCCCTCCCTTCCCTCCCCTCACCCTGACCATTTCCCCCTCCTCTCTCCCTCCCTTCCCTCCCCTCACCCTGACCATTTCCCCTCTGCTCGGGTCATGACCCAACTGTGCAGCGCCTTGGGACGTCCTCCTGACGTGAAAGGCGCTCTATAAATGGAATCCTGTTGTTGTTGTTGTTGTTGTTTCTTAAATATCGCCTTCCGTCTCCAGCTATTCCCAAAGAATCCGAAAGCTTAATGCGTGTCCTCGTACACAGACGTGATGTCTCCTGTTATTTCCAAACATTCTTTCCCAGCTGAACACAAGCTCCACATCATTTATTCCTGCAGGACGTGTTTGTCCCGCACGAATAGATGCATTATGACCTGTTTTCAGCAGACATATAATTCGATGTAATACTTTCTGTGATCTCTTGCTTTCTGAACACAATATCCGCTTCTGGAGTATCCATCACTCCATGCTCATCTGCTGATAAACCTCGGAAAACCCAATGCCTCTCGCCCGCAGTTTACCATGTGATGGTATTGATAAGGTCTCCGGTTTTGTTGTATTTTGTTGTATATAGATATTGAAAGTATCCTTGATGGTTATTTATTTTCTGTAATTGGCAGGAACTGAAACTCCCAGACTGGTGAACGGAGGCAGCAGGTGTTCGGGAAGAGTAGAGTTGCACATCATGGAAACTTGGGGTACAGTTTGTGGAGATACCCTGACCATGGAGATTGCAGAATATATTTGTAAATCTTTGGGATGTGGATTTCCTGTATCAGTATCCGGTGACTCTCGCTTTGGAGAAGGTTCGGGGCCAGTTATTGGTCGGCCTGACTGCGGACACGAGCGAGATGGTGGCATAATCTGTTCAGGTACAGCCTTTCTAAAGGGTCAACATATATTTTATCAACACAGGGGCCGTGTTAGAACGATTGTTCTACATCTGTTTGACTCGTAAATTACTTTTTAAATAAAAAAAGGATTGGTGAAAATCGGCATGGGCGATAGTACCAACAAATATCACAATGTGAACAAACCAACTCGTGGTTCAACATAACTCATCAGGTTTTTCTGTCAGGCTCTGCCAGTAATCATCATTTACACAAAGCACTTGAAGGGGCAGAAAAACTCCTTCTACACTGTCCATTTCTCAGCCTCACAGAGGTAAAGGGACACCAATCTTAACAGTAATTATCGCAGAGGTATTCCTTCTGGGCATTTGGGTAAAATTTTCAAATTCATGCTAAATACAGACAGATTATGAACCGTGTTTATAATCTGTGGTTTCTGTTATTATTTCCCTCCTCATTCTGTCAGAGCTTCATTACGCAGCAGTTGCTGTTAAGCCGTTTGGAAAGTAACATTAACATGTATGAATAATCTAGTATTGTGTTGTTTTGAATCTTGGTAAAACACGTGGAGGTATGTTCATATTCCGCATCACTGCCTGAGTCTCCTGAGATGAATAGTCATGTAGATTTCTGACTCTACACCTGTGATCATTCTTTCAGGTTTAACCTGTTTGCTGTCTGTAACCAATGGTTCTGTCAATCACCAATCGCTATGCCTTTCGTTTGTATTGTTAAACTTATTTTTATCATAATAATTCCTATTGCGTTAACTCTTCCACTGCAGAATATAATTCCCTAAAGTTAGTCGGTGGAAACAACAACTG